TTTTTTTTTTATCTGTTTTCGAACAAGAAGGTTCTTACTCGTGGTATCTTCAATCGAGAACAGATATCGTAACGACATAAATGCTCAGAAAACTTGTTTCACGAAGCTACAACTATTTGCATCGTTCATTTATATTTACATTTTTATATTTTTTTTTTTTTTTTTTTTTTTACAATTTTAAAACAATTATTTTTCCTGATTGTGGTGACGTGAAAATTATTTTGTGCAAAAGATTATCATACATTGTTCATTGAACTCGATCGAATAATTTAGTAAAAGCATTGTAGCTTTCTGAAATAAGTTCAAAGATTTGCGAAACATAATATATTATCAAATCTCTACTTCTAGACTTCTTAGTGTTCACTTAATTATTATTAGACTAACAATTGATCAATACAGTAAATTTTTTCAATGATTGTCCAAACGATTCATATTCTGAAATTCTACGTACTAACTAAGAACTTTAAAATATGAAATGAAAGTAATTCGGATAAACATCGAGTAAATGTCTATATTTTGGTCAATTATTCCGTGATATACATATATCCTTCTAGTTTCAATTCGTTGACGAATAGTTACCGAAAATTTCGACTTCGAATAATCCACGAAAACGTACTTGATTCTCTGATTAAGCTATGAACGAAAGCATTTCTGTGCAATGTTAATTTTCTCCATATAGTCTATATGTAGTATGCGAATAGGCGATGGTTCATTCATGCGTCGATTTGTCTCTTTCTTTTTTTTTTCTTTTTCTGTTCTTTTTTTTTTACAGAAAACAAAGAGGAAAATAAGACAGTAAATAACGTACGCATCAAGCCACATAGAGAGAAGAATGCTCTCGAAAAAAAAAAAAAATGTTATGAAAAGACTGCTCTTGCCGGCAAAAAAGTATCAACACCCTGTGAAAATAGATTTAGAGACTCCAATGTGCATCACGCATCACGAACACTTTCGTTCTTTATCCATGATCCTTAACTTTTCGTTCGATATGTAAATCTTTTGGGAAGGTTTCCGTTGAAATTCCATATATGAATAAACACATTTGTATGTATTTATCCATTGTACGCAGATTCATGTCCGAGGATACCGG